TGATAGATTATAGTACTGTATTCGTTTTCGTAACTACCGCGATCTGGATGCCTAAGCTGCCTGCCTTGTCGCATTTCTTCACTATGGAGACCGAGCCGAATTGACCGCCGAACTTTGAAAGCCCCAAACGAGCGATTTTGAGGCTTCCTGGCAGAATGAAACGCTTCCAAACAAGTAATGAACTATTAATCTTTATTCGGAGCTGATTTTTTTTGCACACTCAATTTAAAATTGTTCTAACTTTTCTTATTATGCCTCATCACCTCTTCAGATATTTAACAAAGAATTCAAAATGCAGAGGTTGTTATCCACCTACTACAAACCCATTTGTGTTGAATTATACAAAGACTACAAAGATCTTTGAATGTAGATTTATGCTACGCTACAGCGGCGAGACCATAGCCACGGTTGTTGTAACAGAGGTAGGTCTTGGGCCTTGAAATCTCCATTATACCTCAAGAAATTTAACCCTTTAGTGTTCTTCGTTGACATTAATTAGTGTGCCTAAACAAAGAAAGGTAATCTTTCAAACGAACAGCAATGAACACTATGTTGAAATTTTTTTTTGTTATGAGAATTGTTTTCACTAGTTACGGGTGACTACTGGTAAACGACGTCTTTTTGAAGAATTCCCGTGAATTAAGTGATAAGTTCCACCCAAACAAGGTTAACGGTGTCGTAGTCAGTGCCTCTCTATCTTCCCAGGAGTGATCAACATGCAACTTCTCCCTCTGATATCCATACATTATCTAGTAAACAGGTAATGAGAATACTCAAAGTTATCAGGTTGTTGTTATCTTGATCTTATAACAATTTCTCGTCATTATTTTACAAGGAAATGTGTAGCAGCTCGGAAGTTAACAATCAGATCTTTGAAGTTAAAGGGTCAACGAGCCCAAAAATTATATGCAATGATCTTTATAAATTTACTTTTAAAGCCTGGCCATATATTGTTCGAACTACTTAGTATGGCGTCCATCGCTTATGGTGTGTTTCTTGCCCGTGTTTCCACAGATTTTATAGAACAGAGCTTTTACGAGTCCATCGAGCGACTATCCTCCTATGATAGCACTGCGAGAAACTGGAAGGGCATGAATGCTCCAGGAAATGGAACGGATTTCAGAACGCTCCACACTATTTTGCTGCTGTTCCAGAGATGAAATCTAAGTAAATTGGAAAGATTTTTAAAAAAGTCTTTGAGACTAAGGTTCATCGCTGTGCGGTGATACGTCCATAAAAGAGAATTGTAAACGAAATGAATTGTCTTTACTTTTGCTTTTCTTGACTAAACTGAATGTTGAGTGGCTCACGTAAACGTTCAGCGCAGTCTTTTTGCCCCCGTATCTCTCACCCAGATATCACAAGAAGTCAATGAGAAATGGGCCTACGAGCATGCCCCGAACCTGTGTTTCTTCGCCCACGAGTAAGGTAAAGGCCACAAGCAAGGACGAGCTAGCGGAAGATCTGTAAGTGATCTGGCGCTAATGATTATCTTTGCTCAGTATCCCTTGTAGATCTTTTGCTGGCTCGCGTTTCTCAAGGCCTCAAACTTTCGCGAGGAGGAAGTAATGTTTCTTTCGAAGCGCGAATGATATGAGCTTGCCCGATGAGTGATGAGAAAACTGTGAGAAATAAGGTTTGAGCGTCCTCAATTGCAGGAAAACCTAAGCGACTGTCAAAGTCTCGATGGGTCTGAGTTTGGTGTCAGATTGATGGAGAGGTTAGAAGCCTGCGTGTAGCTGTACCCTTCCCTGAGGAGCGACGGTGGGGATGGTAGGGCTATACGCAGGCTAAAAGGGTAGCAGTAGCGCTATAGCGAAGTTTCCCAGAGAACTCACAGAGCGATGTAAAGAAAAACCAACCTGATTAAGAGGTACTTCAGGAGTGCTTCTCGAACCTTTTTTCGGACAAAGCAAGTTAGGTTCAATTAAGCGTCAAATGAATATCTGACTTTAAGGATAATGATTGTAAGACACGTGACAATAGTCCCTTTTACAGTTGTGGGCTTGGTGGCCAAGCCTTTGAACAGGAGTGAGGCTAAGGGTGACCCTGTTGTGATAGAGACCTGTATCTAGTTAGCATGATAACAAAGTAATTTGCATTTGAAAAGCAGCAACATCTCTATCATAACAAGGTCACTCTAAGCCTCACTCCTGTTCAAAGGCTTGGCCACCAAGCCCATAACTGTAAAAAGGACAATTTCTTCAAAATCCGAAGCGTTGACCCATCTTCTTACAACTAGTTAAAGGCACTCGTTTCTGTTTCTCAAACTGAAACCGCCCAATTTGTAGAGGTCGATCCATTCGTAGAGGCCTGAAAAGAACCAACGTTTCCAAAAGTAAATCTCACTTGTATATCCTACCAACCATCTTTCGCATTTCTCATATATCTCAATCACTCCTTTCCTCATTGGTGAAAACCTATCGTTCATTGCACCGTGCTATACTTACAACACACTTAGCACACCTCGCATTTTAACTGTGATCTAGTTTCTCAAGATCTAGTTTCACTTAGCACACCTCGCATTTTAACTGTGATCTAGTTTCTCGATTTAGCTTATCAAGTTTGATCTTAGTTAACTTCAGATCAGTGTAAGAGGATTAGAAAATTTTAATGAATTTGAAGCTCTGACCATGGATGTGACTGCACCCTAAGAACGCATTGCGGACCTATTCTCACCTTATTTCCCAGAGTTCCAGTGAGCGTCGTCAGGCAGGGACTTGACATATCATGGCGGCTGTAAAGGCATTAAATCCAAAAGCTGAGGTAGCGAGATCGGCTGCTGCTCTGCACCTTAACATTACAGCAGCAAGAGGACTTCAGGATGTACTTAAAACAAATTTGGGTCCTAAGGGCACCATGAAAATGTGAGTACATTAATTGTACATAAAAGTAGTTAACATTTGAACACGTGCTTTTCGAAAAATGTCGACTTCCCGAAAAGTTGGCATAGTTTCCTTGTGATTGGCCACTACGAATTTTAATTTACCATTGAAAGTCTTATGTTTCCCACTTATGCGTTCTTTGTCGTATTTCTAAATGATGAGGTGGTCGTTCACGGTGCAAATTTTAAGATCAATGAGATTCTTAGTACAGTTGAGCGTTGAGACTGTCTTTTCGCAATTAATTTATTTCACGGAGTTTTTACAACCTTCAAAAAATGGGTGTGGACTATTTCCTTTCAACTGAATACACGATCTTAGCCGCTGAGCTTTTCTTCAGTTCTGTAAATCGATGATGGTACATGTAGCAATAATATTTTTAACCTGGTACATCTTGTACCGGATGCACTAATGTTCGAATAGTCGACATGGTACTTGCTCTTACTATAACTGGAAAAATAAGAATCAGGGCCTTGTTATCTGAAGATACAAGGTTATCAATCACATGAATTACTCTCATATGCATAGCTATTTGCAGGGCACACAAATATTCTGCTCTCCATTGGAGAAAGTGTTTTTTGGCAGTGTAAAAAGTTTTTCGTGCTGCAAACGACTAACAGGAGTACCCTTCCGTAAAATGAAGTGCAGAGTGCCAATTAAGTTCAGGAGTCGAGCGGGTGTATTAAAAAATTACATTTTGTGTGCACAGTGATCAATTACTGCAAGAGCATAACCCACATTATGTAGCATATGGTGCTTGTGAGAGGGAGGGTGGGGGTGCTTTCCCACCAATCCATGCCTTGTAGGTCAACCCCAGAAAATTTTCATTTTTTTGTGTCAGGTCACTAACACTCATTTCAATTCCTTAGTGGACAGAGACATGACCAAGACAGACTTTCTCCTAACAATATCAATACAATATCAAGCAAACAAGTATCATTTACGGGATTATTAATTGATTCAATACCATATTGTTCCAACTAACATTGTAAGAATTGAATAACAAACCCTAAGGAGAATTACTAATAAGATCTTCGGAGTGAAAGGGTTAAAGCATGTGTTGGTATGTGATTTTGATAGGTTGGTGTCAGGTGCTGGAGACATCAAGTTGACTAAAGATGGAAATGTGCTACTACATGAAATGGTAAATGATGTGGCTGATAAAGCCTTTACTGTGAAAGTATTGATTGAAATTGTTGAGATGTGATGGTTAAGTCCTAAAGTATTTCCAGCATATTGTGATGTCCAGAACTGATAGACCCAGCCACAGTACACTTGACATACAGGAAAATACTAGATTTATTCTGACCTTTGCTTCTCTGTTTGATCTTGTTAAATGGAATTTAATACAGTTAATGACCAGGAGCTATTCTGGTCAGTAGTGTTTTTGCTGGCGTGTTGCTAGCGGGTATTAGCCTTCTATTAGTATTTGTACAGCATCTGTGTGCGTTCTGCTGTGTTTGTTGCAACCATGTGGTTGTTGGAGGTCTGAGGCTGTCCTTATCCTTTGGTATTCCTTATCAGTGCATGCATTGGGTTTGCTGCATTATTTATTTATTCAGTTATTTATCCATTTGTTTATTTATTTTTCTTCTACTCAGCCTTTGGGCTCTAGTTTGACAGGTACCTGTTGGGGGTCTTCATGCAAAGGGCTTGTAGCTGGGTTGCGGGTTGGGCAGGCCAGTCAAGTGTTCACACCTTGGGTGTGACTGTGGTTGCAGCCCTTGGGCACCTAACTTCCTTTTGTGACTTGGGCATTACTGAAGAAGTTTTGCCCAAAAGTGACCATGTTTTTCTGGAAACAAAAACTCTGCAGAAATGAAATCCTTTTAGTTACACTATCACACCCTTGAATTTATTAAAAATTGGGAAAAGGAGATAAAAATGTCTGTTGCTACAATATTTTTACTTCAAAGCCTGGGTGATATAGTTTGTATTTTATATTTATTGAGGAAGATAGCACAGAGAACATGAAAACAGATTACTTAATTATGCAACACTTGTTCATGAAGATGTACATGTAATTTTTTTTTTGCCTAGTTCACTAATTTTTTTTCTTTTTTCATCATTTTGTAACAGCAAATTCAACACCCCACAGCCTCTTTAGTGGCAAGAGTGGCCACAGCCCAAGTTAGTAAACTTTTCATTTTGTCTCCTATTGGAGTACACACATTTTTCAAGTTTCCTTAACCCTTTAACTCCCAGAAGTGATTAACATGTAACTTCTCCTGATGATATCCATACATTATCCAGTGTGGAGGCTTGATGGTCTTATGGTTAGTGCGCTCGACTCTGGATGGAGTGGTCCAGTTTCGAGCCCTGGCCGCAGACATTGTGTTGTGTTCTTAGGCAAGACACTTTACTCTCACAGTGCCTCTCTTCACCCAGGTGTGTAAATGGGTACTGGTGAGTTTAATGCTGGGGGTAACCCTGCGATGGACTAGCATCCCATCCAGGGAGGGGGGGATAGAATTATTCCTAGCCGCTTCATGCTACGGAAACCGGAGTTAATCGCCAGGCCAATGGACCACATGGCTCTAAGTAGGCTTTACCTTTTTACCTTGCATTATCCAGCAAACAGGTAATGAGAATACTCAAACTTATTCCCCCCCCCTCCCCCCTCATCTTCCTCTCCCTCCAGACAGGTAATGCTTCAAAACTAAAAATTTTATCAGACCAAATTCTCAAGCTAAAAAATACATTCCACAGACTCGTTGATTACATAGGAGTTTTTTATATGTTCTGCCTTTTTTCACTCTTTTTTTTGTAGGATGATATTACTGGAGATGGTACTACTTCAAATGTCTTAATTATAGGAGAATTGTTGAAACAGGTAATGGCACAAAGTAATTTGCTCAAATCAGTTCACCATATTTTGCTGGAAGTTGTTTTTTTTTTTCTGACCACAGTTTCAACCAAAGCACTGTTGCTTGTAAAGGTGAGCCGAGTTACTGGAGCCTCCACCCCACACA